GGCACCAGCATCATCATCATCAGCAGCATCGACATCAGCAGCAGCAACATCAGCATCACCATCACTAGCATCATCACCATGATCACCGCCATCAGCATCATCATCACCCTCAGCATCACCATCATCGCCATCATAATCATCAGCAGCATCATCAGCATCAGCAGCAGCATCAGCAGCATCAACATCACCATCACCAACAACATCACCACCACCACCACCACCACCACCACAACCATCACCCTCCGCGCACGAATTTCAATGTGTGGAGAATCCGACGCGCCCAAGTTGGGCCCCCCTTGGGCGCCGTGGGCACGTGAGAAAGCGTGCCACGCGCGCACGCACCAGGCGCATGTTGTCTCCCCCCCCCTCCCCCCCTCCTCCGCGCACGCATTATCGTGTGTAAAGAATCCGACGCGCCCAAAGTTTGTCCGCCCCCCTCTGGGAGCCGTGGACATGCGGGGCCGCGTGCTCCGCGCGCCAAGCATGTTGCCCCCCCCATCTGCGCACATATGATCACGTGGTGAGAATCCGACGCGCCCAACTTGCCTCCCCCCCCTCTGGGGGGACGTGAACACGCGAGAACACATTCCCCGCGCGCACGCGCCAGGCGCATGTTGGATTCCCCCCCCCCCCTCCGCGCACGTATTGTCACGCGCAAAATCCGACGCGCCCAAGCTGGGTCCCCCTAGGGGGGGGGGGCATGGACACATGAGCGACGATCGAAGACGGGTTTTGCGCGAGATGGCACAGCTACCATACGCGATGGCTTACGCGGGCCGCCAGCGCGGTAGGCCACGGTGGAGACGAGTGCGCTGACGCGTGACCTTCCGCGAGCAGCTTACGCGCCAATGTGGACGCAGTCGAACACGTGTTGCCGCGTCGCACTCGTCAACACACGTGCCCCGCGCGCACGCGCCAGCTGCATGTTGCCATCCCCCTCCGCGCACGAACTTCCACGTCCACGTGTGAAGAATCCGACGCGGACGTGAATTGACGTGCCCCGCGCGGACGCGCCAGGCACATTTTGCCCCCCAACTCCGCGCACGTATGTTTCACCGTAGGGAATCCGACACCAAGTTGGGTCCCCCCCTGGGGCCCGTGGACACGTGAGAACGGGTGCACGGCGCGCACGCGCCAGTCGCATGTTGGGTCCCCCCGAATGCCGCACACGTATTTTTACGTGTGAAAAATCCGACGCGTGCCCCCCGCGCACGCGCCAGGCGCTTGTTGGGTCCCCCCTCCGCGCACGTGTGAAGAATCCGCCACGCCCACGTTGGGTCCCTCGCCTGCGGCCCCGTCGCAGCCAGAAACGCATAAGAACACGTGCAGAACACACGCGTGCTGAAACTCATGGTGGAGACCCTCCCCCCTCCGCGCACACTTTTTTTGTCAAATTCCGACGCCTGCTGCCCGGCACCCTTCTGGTGGAGGGCCGTGGGCCCGCAAACTACGAGAGAACCCTGGGCTGGAGCCCTTACCGTGAAAAGCATAGATGTTGTACTGCCTGTTGTTTTAAATGTACAGTCGAGGTACGACCAGAAGGAACGCTAGACAAGGAACGAAGCCCCTTTTTGGCGCCAACAGCGCCTTTGTACTCGAGGACGCGAGCCCTTCCGAACCCAAAGCGGTCCTTTCTCTCAGCGTCTCGACTGTAGGATGAAGACCCCAAATGGACCTTCTATCGGCCGGCTAGGTGACGGAATTGAAATGTGTACGAGCAAGGAGGCGGCAAAGAGGGCACGGAGGGGGGGTTAGGGGGGGATCAGCTGGTAGTGTGACACGGGAGGCGAGGGGTAAGGTGGGACGAGAGGGATCCTCCCATTTCCCCCTTCGGTCCTCAGCTTACACGTCCCCTCCTCGTCCCCTCCTCCCCGTCGCCTCCTCCCCATTCCTCCTCATTTTCCGATCACCAGATCAAACCTTTGCATCGCCCCTCCTCCTGCCCCACACAGAATCTCTCCCTCTTTTCGTTGCGCCCCTTCTTCTTCCCTCTTCCGTCCTACACATTAACCTCTTGACACCCCTCTCCCTTACTCGAATCCCCCTCGCTTCACCTCCCATCATTTCATCCTCTCTTCCTCCGTCCTTCTCATCCTCATCCCCAATTTAATGCCATCCAACCTCCGGTTCCCCCCCACACGGTACTGCAACACGTTACGTGGCATTGTACAAAACGCGCGAGAACGCATGATCGCGTGCGCGTCACACCTGCAATGCACACAACCGGTATCACGCTTGCTGTATATCCGCCGTCGTGCCCCCTGGCACGTTGAGGCATGGGAGAATGCCATACGCTGACTGGCATAGATTCTGCAAAGTCGTCTACTCCTCCACCCTTCTCGCCACGCCCAGCTGTGTGCACCGCCCCTCCATCCCAGGGCTCCCCAAGCGGCCCGACACGTCCCCCGGGCTCGCCAAGGCTCTCAAACGTTTCCAAGACGAATCGGGAAGGCCACCAAGGCCGCCAAGATGGCACAACACTGCCTCAATAGGCGTACCCAACAGCCCCCGAGAAGACCCCCAGACGCGCCGAACGAGCGCTCCCCAAGAAGGCCAAAATCCTTCGAACGCCATGGGGAATCACCACGCTTTTCTAAATATGTGTAGCGGTTCCCAAGACTTCTCGGCTCAAGATGGTTCCACGAGGGCCTCGGTGGAGCCTAAGAGGAGATCCAATGGGAGCCTCCAGCTGCTCCTCCGACGGCCCAGGACAGCCCTGAGAGGCCCCAAGACGGCCAGAGAGAGGCCCAGGACAGCCCATGAGGACCCTCGGATGGCGCTCCCTGGACGACCGAGGGAAATAGACGGCACCAAGACGGCCCAAGAGAGCCCCAAGACGACCCACGTGGGTCCCAGAGAGTCCCAAGAGGGCCCCAGGATGATCCCAAGAGATCCCCACGGGAGCCCACAACAGCCCCAGGATGGCCCACGCAGCCCCTACGAGAGCCCCTCAAGGCATAGAGACGAGAGCTGCCACAGGTTACAGGATTCTGGGCGGTGACCGAAGCGTCGCCATACTGAGTGCTGCGCAGTCACTGTGGTGGGACTTGCCGCAGGCAGCCAGACATTTGCACCACGTCACCCTCCACAGTGCACTGCACACAACCAGTCATCACCGCACAGGCTATACAAATACCATACACGGCGTTCTGCACAATTCTGATACACACAACTTACCGTACAACACCCCGGCATGCCCCGATTTCCGATGTGACGTGTGCATTACATACTGCCTATGTGCGCGAGAGATTGCTTGGGGGGTTGGGTGGTCCGCATGAGGGACAGGACTTCACGCATGTGGTAGAGGAGTAGCCCGATTCGGGGCTCCGCCGGACCACAAGCCGGACCGCAAGACACCCGCACAACGCCGCATCACATGCCACCACAGGAGGAGCAAGAGGCGGGGGCAGGAGAGGCGCCGTGCCGCACCGTGCCATGTCACACAGTGCCAGCGAATCGCGGCGGCAACGGGACCAACGCAAAGCCCCCTCCCGTGGCACCATGGGCGGCTTCATTGGCACATGGCGCTTGAAAAGCGTAGCCTGCGGTGGGAAGTGGGAGGAGGAGGAGGAGGAGGAGGAGGAGGAGGAGGAGGAGGACAGGAGGAGCAGAAGGTAGAGGACGTGGAGGACGAAAGAGGGCAGTGGAAGCAAGAGCGGGTAAGCGATGTGCGCAGTATGAGACATACGAGCGGGGCCAGCTCAGCAAGCGTTTCGGCCACAAGACACCTCAAGAAACTCATACACTAGAGTCAAGTAGTTGCGATGGGTTCAACTGGGAGTCATAGGTCTCTCATTCCATGCATCTTGAGCCAAGAAGCCCAATGTACCCTGGCAAAATGGAAATTTCGTCTTGGCACGGGCTGACAATGTACGCCGATCGGGAGGGGTCATGCTCAAACGAAACTTGCATCATCGAGACAACCCGATCGAGAATTGACGAGTCGGAAAGGTAAAAGAGCGTCCTGTGCATTCCCAGAACGCTTACACACCCACACGCAAGTGGTCGAAAGCTCATGATAGCAAATCGAAACAAAACGGATGTTGGGAGTGAACGGAAGCAACTCTTGAGGGAACTGGAAGCATATGGAAGCAAGCAGAACCAAGTCGAGCCTGGCAGTTGCAAACGAAACGCGTGAACCAGCAAAAGGAAGCAAGTGAAAGCATCTGATATACCGTGGGCTCATGCGGTATTCAGAGGAAATACATCGCGGCGAATTGAGGTGAAAGGCAAACAGAAGGAGCCACCAACGAAACACAGCAAGGCGAAACAAGCGGAAGCACGTGATAGCAAGCGGAAGCAAGTCGAAGCAAAACGAGACACGGACAGGGGGGCACCTGGGGCTAGCCACGGCGAATCAAACCCCTCGGAGCGTGAGACATGGACGGGGCGATGCGAGGTAAGCCGCGACTGCTTGAGGCTGATCGGGGCGGACTGCGGCGAGCTCCGTGCGGAAGGCCTCCCAAAACAAGCAGCCGGTCGGGGACCGTCGCGGCGGGCCGCGCGAGCGACCTCTGCGAGAAGACGCCCACCATCGTGGACGGTCTCCGACTCGCAGCCAGCTCCAGGGTCGAGGCTGCGACAGGGGGGAGGCGCAGCGTCACCACCACGGGAGGCGCTCATGCGCAGAGGCCCCCACGCGGCCCCGAACTGGAGGCGGGGCCGCCACCCGCACGCCAAATGACCCCGCACGCCGTCCACCCTAGGGATGCCGCAGCAAGGAGGGCCCGCGAGCTCGTCCCTACACCAACGGAGGAGGAGGAGGAGGAGGAGGAGGAGGAGGAGGAGGAGGAGGAGGGGGAGGAGGAGGAGGAGGAGGGGGAGGGGGAGGAGGAGGTCGCCGACAGATCGGCGGCAGAGCCGTGATGGCGAAACCGCACGCTCCTGGGCGGGGTTGGGCACCTGGGCCCCGACTGGCGATGAATGGGCGAGGGGGGGCCGATGCTTCCCAACCTGGGCCAGTCATCCCCCGTCGTTGCGCCTGGTCTCCTGCAATCGATACTTTAGCTATAGCAAGTTCGCGTCGTGACGACTTCGGTGCCGGCATCCTACGCCGCGTGGATCGTTCAGCCTCGAACGATCGCTGTTTTCCACCAACGCAGATCGTTCAACGCTGGCCAAGCTCACTGCGCTGGCGGCCCTCAACTTGGCATAATTACACTACACGGGTCCTGAGGGAAACGGGTCCTGAATCCTGCGGCCTTCCCCCAAGACCAGTCTGACAGCCCAGGGGGCCAAGAAGGACTCCGGGAGGCCGAAAAAACTCAGGACCAATTTCCCTCAGGACCAATTTCCCTCAGGACCCGCCTGCATCACCCCTTCAACTTTGAACGCCCGCTCTCAAGGGCTCCATATTTCGCGCTTCGCGCTCCGCGAAGCGCGAAGCGCGAATGACTTCGCGCTCTCGCGCTGGCCCCCGGAGGAAAAAAGGAGGGCGAGGAGGAGGGGGAGAAGGAACGAGGACCGCGAAGCGCGAAGCGCGAGTAACTTCGCGCCCTCATGGGAGCCCTTGGCTCTGGCGTCGACGCCGCGTCGGCACAACGCGAACCTGCCGTGCACGCAGCAGAGACAATAACCAGGAGCGACCTTTGGTGCGCGGCTCTGGGGGGCCGCGGCGGAGGGGGGGCCAACTCCAAGCACTCCAGCCAGTGCTGACTGCCTTCAGCTTTGGACGCCCCTGAAAGATCCGAGCATCTTGGAGGCGGCCAGGGGGGTCTGAACTGGTTGGGGCCCCAGAAAATCTGCCAGGAGGGGGGGGGGGGTGAAGCCAAATCCGCTCAAAGTCGGCACCCAGACCCATCCCGAGGCAGAACGAAAAAGACAACGAAAAATCCCCGAACCCAGGACCTTGGACCTCTTCCCCCCGTCCTGCTCGCTGGATCCAGTGCTGGGCCCCCTCAGATCCCCAGCCGGCCCCAACCAGACGTCCCGCCTCTCGAGCTGACCCGCGCCGTCCTCGGACGCCGCGGACGCCTGCGGCGGGCGACGCGCCTCGGGGCAGGCCCGGGGCACCTTCTCCGTGCAGGGCGCGGGGGCCCTCTGCTCCCTCGCGGGGTTTGGGCCCGCAGCGGCCGACGATCGACCGCACGTAGCGAGCAGGCGTCCTCTGGCAAGGACGCGGGGGCCTCTAAATTGGAGGGCCTCGGAGAGGCGTGCTCGGGATCCCCCGTGGCGTCTACTTCCGCCCACGGGGCCTCCCGCCCCGCGCCCCGCTCATTGCGGAAGCGGTCCTTCCGCCCCGCGCCCCGCGGCAGTCTCCGTCGTTTCATGCTGAAGGCGGCTGCTGCGGAGCCAAGCAGGCAACGGCCAGAATCGTCTGCTCGGACGGGGCTAGGACGAGGATGGATCCGTTCAGAGCATTCGGGAGCGCTCTCAGACCGTTCTGGAACGCTCTGAGAAGGCCGCGGCGCCCGAGACATCCTCCAGAGCCGCTGGATCTCAAAGATTCCCGATTTATCCTCGCCCGATCTTGTCCTCGTCCTGGCTTCGTCTTATCTGCGCCAACATCGGCGCGGTGGCCTGGGCTGGCGGCGGCCGACGACCGGGCCGCGTCGTGGCCGCGCCACGACTCGGGTCCGGGAGGGTGGTTTCTCCAGGGGGAGGCAGGAGCAGGAAGGGGAGGCGGTGGACGGCCATCGAGGCTGGTCGGGGCTTGGGAGAGCTCTCTGCGTCCGAGGCCTCTGCGCGGTTTCGGAAGCAGAGGGGGGGGGAAGGAGAGGGGGAGAAGGATTCGATTCTGAAATCCTTACGACGCCTCAGGTTGTTGATGAACTTCGGCATGCGCGCGCGACGACCCGCGTGCGCATGGCGTCCCAACTGTTGCAAGGGATTCTGGAAAACTGCTGATTTTTATCAACGAGTGCGCGCGCAGTATTCTTTGCATAAGATGAGGGAGGAAGAAGAAGAGGATCGACAGCAGCAGACGGGAGCGGAAGAGGAGGACGATAGAAGAGAAACGGAGGAAGGGGAGTGCAAGGAAGAGGAGTAGACGAGGAATACGAAGACCCGACAGCGCAACGGGGGGGCGATGGTTGGCTCTGGTGATGCGTAGAAATTGTCGGTGCCTTGGGCTCCGCCTTCGCCTGTCTGCTTCCCCACCACTTGCGCCTCATTCGCTTTGTCTGGCTGCCGCTACGCTCTCGCACCAAACGCCACGCATCGTCCACGGCTCCCCCGAGACGCAGCGAGCACAGACGCCATGTTCACATGAAGCGGGAGGAGAAACCGATGAGGCCGTCGTCGTCCACCGCGTCCTCGTCGTCGAGGACGTCGTCCTCGTCGTCGCCCTCGCCGTCGTCGTCGTCGCCGCCGCCGACATGGCCACCGCCGAAGGCCGCCGAAGGCAACAGAGTCGGAGACCCCAAGGAGATCCTGGCCTCCCAAGCGAGCGGTGGCAAGTCCAGTAAGCAATGCGCGGGGCCCCGGCATCTCGGGCCTCAAAGGGTTGTCGTCGTCTTTCTCCTCCCAGAGAGGGTAAGGTGAGGGCGTGGAAGAGAAGAGAAGAGGGAGTAGGGAGAGGGTGCAGACGAAGACGGCGGCGAATATGTCAAGTTGAAAACTGAGCCAAACACAAATACGGGCACGAAAACGATGACTATAAAACGGATGAAACAACGGCAACGATGGCAGCGACGACGAAGGAGAAGGGAAGCCTCCCCCTCTTGCTGCCCATCCACCTCGTCTTCCTCCTCCTCCTCCTCCTCCTCCTCCTCCTCCTCTTCTCATGTATCCACCCTGTCTCCTCCTCCCTGCTCTTGATGGAACGGGAGCAAACACCTCTGACCAGCCAGGTAAACAGCCAATTGAAGGAACTGAGAGGAGAACAAGCCATGTACACGCATGGTTATATATATATATGCGGCTGACTGTGTACAAGTTCGAATGAAAAATGTGGGGTGAAGGGGAAGATGAGCTGAGGCAAGTCGTTCTCCCTTGATGTCCAAAAAGCTATGGAAATACTGCGCGTGCCAAGTGCCGCAAACGACGCGATGCATGCTACATGCTGCGATACATGTCCACGCCTACGGACGGCATTGTAGTTACAAGTTCCCGTTCATAGGGCCTCAGATCTCTACACGCCCCCGAACAAACAAAAAGAGTCATACCGCGACCTGCCCGAGAACACAGGGGCGGGAGCCAAACCAGCTTCAGCCTGCTAGGCCCAGGGGCTTCCGTAGCCGCTCAAGCCTTAGATGGTGTAGCCCAAGGTCGCCCGGCCGCTGGGATACTCGAATCCAAGAGCGAACATAGAAAGTCCAAGCGTGGCTCGCCCACAGGCTTCGCCAGGACATCGGCGTAATTCTCTGACGTGCAGTTCTTAACTAGGGTGATATTACTGCTGAAGATCAGATATTGGACCGACCGGAAGATAGAGCCGACGCGCTGGACTGTAATCAGGCCTCGCGGAGTCTATACACAAGTGGAGGTGCAGCTGTATACCGAAATCCTTACCATGCTCTGGACCCCAAGCCGCTTGGGACATCCAGTGACTAGACCATCAAACTCGGCCTCGCCA